GGGAGGGGGAGGGGGAGGAGGAGGAGAGGGGGAAGGAGTGAGAGGAGTGGGAGGAGTCGAAGGAAGAAGGAGCAGATAGATACACGTAGTTGTCGGATGGGAAGAGAATCTCAATGTCTTGTAGGATCACGAAATCTGTCCGGTACTCTGCTACAGTCCTCCTCCTCCTCCCTTCCTCCTCCTCCTCCTCCACCATTGCTGTCACGTGGTGGCTGCCTGACAGCGTTTCGCTCACAGCCATCACAAGCTCAGGGTCCGTGCTGACAGCCTCGTCCGCCTCGTCCACCAGTACCCGCAGCTGCCTTCTGCTGCGCAAGCTGCTTCCTCCCTCCTGCACACAGCCTCCTCCTCTCACTCTGAAGTGAAGCCTCGCCTCTGACCTCCTCATCCTCGCTGCGGACGAGTTGTCCCCCTAGTCTCCCTGTCAGTAGGAAGAGGATGGGCAAGGAGGAGGAGGAGGAGGAGGAGGAGCACCTGGTATCCTCGGCGAGGGTAGAGCAGCTCTATGCAGCAGGAAGCATCAGAGTCTTTGCATGTCTCAAGTGTGCGGGGGCTGGAGGGGAGGGCAGGAGAGTAGTCGTACTGCTCCATCACCCGCTGCAGCTCCTCTGCTCCTGTCACCTGTGTCCTTGCGCATGGAGCACCCAGCAGAGCCAGGAGCAACAGGAGCAGGAGCAACATGCTCCCGGGTACTTGCTGCTTCACACTGCTCTCCTCCTTCCTTCGGGCTCAGTGTCCCGCCTTCTTGCTCTTGCTCTTGATGTCGGAGATCGCAGCTTCGAGGGACGAGCAGGAGGATTGAGACTCGGTGAGGAGGTTGAGGAGGTGGAGGTTCTTGACCTGCAGCAGCTGATTCTCCTTCCTCAACATGTCCATCTCCTCCTTCATCTCCTTCTCGCTCTTCATCCTCCTCCTGGACTTACCAAGTCAGATGCCATCGTGCACTTCTGGTCCTCCCTCCCTCTGCTCTGCTCTTCTGCTCTTCTGCTCTTCTGCTCTTCTGCTCTTCTGCTCTTCTACTCTTCTGCTCTTCTGCTCTTCTGCTCTTCTGCTCTTCTGCTCTTCTGCTCTTCTGCTCTTCTGCTCTTCTGCTCTTCTGCTCTTCTGCTCTTCTGCTCTTCTGCTCCTGCTCCTGCTGCTCTCCTCTCCTTTCCCGCGCCCCCGCCTTCCCCCCGACATTTTGCTTGCATCACATTAATATGTATCCAGTTTTCGGGTTGTACCAGAGTTTATGGAAGTTTATGTCATTCAATAAATATCCCATAAATTTTGCGCAATGGCTTCACAAGATGATCGTCAACTACAATCTCACGTCATCTCATCAACATGTCACCACAGAGACAACCTCAAGCTCCTTCAGTCTACCATCACCTTCGTTCATTGCTACACGTCCATCACCACTCACTTTCTCTGTGGAACATCGTCACTTGCATACGTGATATGTTTTGCTATAAGCTCTGTCACGGTAATCATCTCAGTCGTCTATCTACTGGCTCTCAATGATGCAACCCGTCTTGTTCTCTGCACCAGGTCGCTACAGTCTGCCAGGTCTGTCGTTGCCTCCCTTCTTTCATCGGTAGTTTCAATCACTGATATGTTCCTCTGAGTAATAGGTGACAACAATATCCATCACTGGATTCTGAGCCTTAGCGCAGAATTGGCTGGAAGATGGGACCTGTGCAAGACCCATACATGAGACTTGAGGCTGGGCCTGCCCAAGGACAAGGCAGAGTTTGCCACGAAAGAGCATTCATATCGTCTTACATCTCAGAGAGATGTTCCCTGGAATTACAACCAAACTGTATCAGGAATTCTTCAACGAATGAGAAAATGGTGACAATTGAGGGCGATGGCAGACGGTGTACAGGCATTCCAGCACATGTTACAATCCTCAGAGGCATGAAAGGGCTTGAAGCTAGCAGGAAGGAGAAGCTGCAGAGACAGATTTCCCTCCCAGCATGTCAGGAGTCCGAAGAGATCCCTGCTGTGACGCAGAGTTGGAGGAGCGCTCTTGAGACACAAGGCCTGTGTCAGGAGCCATGCTGCCTCACAGTGATGATGGAAGTGAGAGCGGATCTTCACGCTTCATTTCGAATCCCCCACCTAGGCCCAGCATGACTTGCGCGAATGGTACATAAAATGAAGCCGCAATATTGGGGATACTTGTCATATTGTTGCAGAAGCTTTTAGATTGTAGGAATTTCGCGGTAATGTGTTTAGTGCATGCAGTATTATCCGGCCATATGTTTCCATGCATCGTCATCCATTCCCCTACGTGATATGCCAGGGGCGTCCGGTATGACAACATCGCTCCAACTTCACGATGACAAGAAGTCCACCTGTCGTTCACTTCGCTCTGAAGAAACAGTGGGCTGGGAATATCATATTTCTTGTGGAGTTCTTAGGTATGATCAGCAAGATATCCATTCCAATGAAAGAGATATTGAATGCCACGACCACGTTGACGTTTGTCGAGGGGAGAGGATCCGGTCGGTGGACGTGTCGGGAGAGGATCCGGTCGGTGGAGCTCAAAGTTGGGATCACGATCTTGAAGAGGACGAAGCCATCTGAGATTGAAGACGCTGAGCTCGACATGACGAAAGCGGTCGGTCGATTCGAGGTGAAGAGAGTTGTTAGAAACAAAGGAAAGAATGTTGAAGGGATCGGTGAAACCCCTCCGACGATGCTGAGCTTGGGAAAGCTGTACGAGGATCAAACTTGGGAAACCCGTAGGTGATTGGAATATTCGTCGTTGAGAGCCCAACGAGATCGCCAAGTCCCAAGGTGGGGGAGCGACCGTGTTGGTCGAGGGTCTTCTGATCAAGAGCATCGCGAGGCTTTCTCCATTTGCCCTGGGATGGCCTCACGGACATCTTGAAGAGAGGGAGAACTGAGTGCAAACGATGGAGGGTTTGTTTCTTACCTGACTGTAAACGAGGACAGGGAGGGTTGAAGGATAGACGAAACGAAAGAAGAGCCTGTGAGAAGAGAAGAGGAGGAAAAGAGATCGGAAAGCAGAAGAAAGAAACAGAAAGGAAAGCGGTAGATGGGGGGTTAAGGGCCATATGAGTGAAAATTCATGCAGGGTGCAGCGGGGGATATCTCCAAAGGACTACAGTCCGTCACTGAAAGGAACATGTACCAGGCTAGCTGCGACTGCGAGGAATTTATGAAATCAGTCTCAATCTAGTGCTTCATGGCAGCCGCTTGGGCTCAACAAACGCATGAGCCTCAAAGCTTGCGAGGCGATGATGACATGTCTGTGCATACATTCCAGGCAGCGAGTTTGAGTTCGTAGTAGATAGTTATGGTATGATAAATGCTTCGAGGTGATAAGTCCCAATGCTCTCCCACTACATATGTTGCTGCATGTATCTATCACCCGTGAAAAGCTGCGCACACAGGTGACATCCGATGCATAGTCCTTCGTTCGCGGTGTAGAAGAGGGTAAGGTTAGAGGCTAAAGGTTTTATTCTTCCTTTGACATGTAGGGCTTTTCACTCCAAAGCTCTCATCCCGTTACTGGGGGGAGAAGGGATGTTCTTTCTTCTTCTTCGGGCAATTGTTGCATCCCTTCAACGAGGTCTCGCAAGCCTTCTCAATCGGCTCCACGCCGCTGAGCATGGTGTCGATGACATGCGACTCCTGTTGGAAGAGAAAGCTGAAGAGCATTCCTGAAACCAACCACAGTCAGACCATGAGCAGCATGTATACAGCAAGAGCATGATGATGGGAGTGGAGACATTGCTTGAGCAACAGACATCAGTGCAAGAGCAGACGCGTCAGGACGTCACTTTCTTCTCGCGCATCGCAGCGTGTGGCTGACCTGCTGGTGTTGATCAACTCAAAGATCGGTTTCCTTTACAGAGCCTCCCCCTACCAAAAACTTCCTACGACCCCGGTCCTATCACCAGCATATCACACATAAGAGGACAGTCGCAATTCGACCAGCAACACACGAGTGGGGGTGGGGGTGGGGGTGGGGTGGAGGGTAGGGTAGGGGTAGATATGACCGTATGGTATATAGCCTTCTACAGTCATATGACCACTGAAGGGTCAGCCCCTAGCTCCTAGGACCCGTGATGTATAGGGCTTTTTAGGGGGTAGAGGTCGGGAGAGGGTAGTCGAGGAGCGAAGGGGCACACGGCATTCCTCATATCAAAGCCATATCAGCCGTGACGTTTTTTTACCAATTTGTTTGTTTCAAAAAAAAGTCATCATTCAAAAGCCACTCAAGACCAGAGCTTGCTACGCAATGCGAGTAGTTTCCCCTCGTCCCTCACACTCGAGCCTTGAACCCTCTACAGCCTTGAGCTCCTTCTGGACGACGGCTGGCAGGAGCTTGCTGAGAGACTGACAAGCGATGGCAAGGGGATCCAGCCGACGACCGTAAGGAGAGCAAGAGACGGGCAGAGGTTATGGAAGATGCCGCAGACTTGGAGAGACGGGAAAGGCTACAGATAGTGGGGTTATCACGTACCTGAAGACTCAGAGAGACAGCGAACTCAACAAGCGCATCAACCTCATCCTCATCAACAACGGGGAGGCCGGCAAGACGAGCGAGTTGAAAGCTCTAACATGGAGGAGGATAAGGCGGAGGAGATCGAGGTAGACAGGAGACAGGGATAGACCTGCACGAGTGGGGCTTGCTGATCATGACGGGCTGACGTTCGACGTAATGGATTACGGGGGTCAACCTATATACGCTAAGACGAACCAGTACTTTGTCGTGAGGAGGGCCTTGTACCTGCTGGTGTGGAACGTGACGAAGGGAAGCTTGGAAGAACTGCAAATGATGATCTCCGCTGGATTGAGAGCGGCGCAGGCGAGGGCCCCAGGAGCAAGCCTTGCAAATCATGAATGGGGATGAAACTTTGAGGGTGAATTGCTTGAATGGAAACGGGATCTGTGTGTAAGGCAGCCAGGATGCTGCTATGGTGGAATGAGGCTATGCCTGGCCCATATCTGAGACTGAGAGAGGCAGTAGGGAAGCAGCCCCAGTATGCGCCATACATCAAGGTAGAACAGTATCTGGGGATGTTGAAGGAAGCGAAGGTCAATGAGAAGGAAGCAAAAGTGGTGACGAGCTTTTTGCACGACATGGGCGCGCTCAAATTCTGTGGTCATGAGCTGAGAGTCGCCGATAGCAAGGAGAAGAGATTCCGCATGGATGATTGACGTGTTCAAGGGTGTGATGTGACGAGGAGGAGATTAGTAGCAAGGGAAGCGGAAGTATCACCTGTGCAAGGTCCCAAGCTCCTTAGCTGCTTTCACAGCTTGCAGATACAGGTGATAGGTACATGCAGCAACATATTTAGTGGCAGAGAACTGAGAGTTGTCGCCCCGAAGCATTGGGCTCATTTTACATTTATCATCACTGAAATCAAACTGCTGAAGATTCCTTGTCCCGGTGCCCCATTCATTTACAGCCGATATCCTTCAATATCCTCCTCGTCAAATCAGCGTGCGATAACGCTTGTCTCCAATGCCCGGACAGCTATTCGCTAAACCTGAGCTTGGTTCCATCATCTCACAAGCAGGATCCTTCCCCAGCAAGTCTTCTTGGCTCAATCGCCGATGATAATGTCCATCCACGATAGTGAAATTTTGGCGTCCTCAAGGACCAACAACACTTGGGTTTAATCCTTCACTCCTTCGTACAAAACGTAAAACGTCCAAAGATTTATTTCTCTTCCAAGATGCAAGGCATTTCTCTCCAAAGCTCGGCTCCACGCTGCTGAGCATGGTGTCGATGACATGCGACTCCTGTTGGAAGAGAAAGCTGAAGAGCATTCCTGAAACCAACCACAGTCAGACCATGAGCAGCACGTATACAGCAAGAGCATGACGATGCGAGTGGAGACATTGCTTGAGCAACAGACATCAGTGCAAGAGCAGACGCGTCAGGACGTCACTTTCTTCTCGCGCATCGCAGCGTGTGGCTGACCTGCTGGTGTTGGTCAACTCAAAGTTCAGTAAAAACATTATGCAACCGTCGAGAGCACGGGTCCATTGAACTCCACATGCTACTGGTACATTTCCCAAGTTGAGGTTGAATGATTGTTCATTCAAGTTTGATGATGTTGAACTTGCTCTAACAATGTTACAAATCGTGCTAGAAAGCAACAAGAATGAAGCTAGTTTTGGTATAGATGTAAAGCTTTTCCTGTCTGAGAATACATAGGCACAGAAGTATGGCGTAAACGAAGATCTTGGTATGGTACGACATGTGCGTATGTACCCAGAACGGTACTAAATTGAGGCTTGAGGCACGTTATGTAAACGTCTCATTGCCTTTAGCTTTGGCCTCGTAAGTGATAAATGCTTCGAGGTGATAAGTCCCAATGCTCTCCCACTACATATGTTGCTGCATGTATCTATCACCCGTGGAAAGCTGCGCACACAGGTGACATCCGATGCATAGTCCTTCGTTCGCGGTGTAGAAGAGGGTAAGGTTAGACGCTAAAGGTTTTATTCTTCCTTTGACATGTAGGGCTTTTCACTCCAAAGCTCTCATCCCGTTACTGGGGGGAGAAGGGATGTTCTTTCTTCTTCTTCGGGCAATTGTTGCATCCCTTCAACGAGGTCTCGCAAGCCTTCTCAATCGGCTCCACGCCGCTGAGCATGGTGTCGATGACATGCGACTCCTGTTGGAAGAGAAAGCTGAAGAGCATTCCTGAAACCAACCACAGTCAGACCATGAGCAGCACGTATACAGCAAGAGCATGATGATGCGAGTGGAGACATTGCTTGAGCAACAGACATCAGTGCAAGAGCAGACGCGTCAGGACGTCACTTTCTTCTCGCGCATCGCAGCGTGTGGCTGACCTGCTGGTGTTGGTCAACTCAAAGATCGGTCTTCCTTTACAGAGCCTCCCCCTACCAAAAACTTCCTACGACCCCGGTCCTATCACCAGCATATCACACATAAGAGGACAGTCGCAATTCGACCAGCATATGACCACTGAAGGGTCAGCCCCTAGCTCCTAGGACCCGTGATGTATAGGGCTTTTTAGGGGGTAGAGGTCGGGAGAGGGTAGTCGAGGAGCGAAGGGGCACACGGCATTCCTCATATCAAAGCCATATCAGCCGTGACGTTTTTTTACCAATTTGTTTGTTTCAAAAAAAAGTCATCTTTCAAAAGCCACTCAAGACCAGAGCTTGCTACGCTCTGCGAGTAGTTTCCCCTCGTCCCTCACACTCGAGCCTTGAACCCTCTACAGCCTTGAGCTCCTTCTGGACGACGGCTGGCAGGAGCTTGCTGAGAGACTGACAAGCGATGGCAAGGGGATCCAGCCGACGACCGTGAGGAGAGCAAGAGACGGGCAGAGGTTATGGAAGATGCCGCAGACTTGGAGAGACGGGAAAGGCTACAGATAGTGGGGTTATCACGTACCTGAAGACTCAGAGAGACAGCGAACTCCTGATTTGTTCTTCCCTCTGCCAGGGAACAGCGAGATGATTTTAGTGATATGCTCTCAGACCAGGTCGGAGAGGGAGGAGAGGCTGATGGTTTCACTGTAGATGTCATGGTCCATCACCAGGGCCTCCCTCTGCATGGTCTTTGTGATGCACTACTGTTGGAACCGGAGTATGTACCGCAAGAGGTGCATCTTCCCCAGGTTGATCATGGCCGGGGTCACGCTGTACACCTTGCCGTAGATGTAGGACAGCCCCTTCATCCTCAGTGCCACCTCCAGCTCGTCATCGATGATCACAATAAAGGGGACATGCTGCGTAGAGACAACGATGTAGCGGCTGAACATGATGTCGCTGCAAATGAGGAAGTTTGGCAGCTTGTACTGCGTGATGAGGTCGTTGATGCTGATGCAGTTTAGGGGGGCGTCGGCGACGAGATCCTCAGTGAAGTTCTCTCAGTGAAGTTCTCTCAGTGAAGTTCTCTCTGGTCCCCTCCTGCTTCATCGGGTCGAGGACGTTGGCGAGCCACACCTTGTCGGTCTTCAGCATGTACAGCGAGGACCCGTGCGGTCTTGATGGTCGACAGGGTGACAGAGCCCACGATGTTCTTTATGTACTCGAACATGTCCCCACAAACGAGATAGATCAGGTCCCAGAGCTGGCTGCAGAGGTCTGACTTGGTGTTGCATGAGGGCTTTTCAATCAAGCAGCAGTAGCGTATCATCACCTACATGCTGTTCTTGTCCGTGTAATTCCTCTCGTTCTCGCATCTGAGGATCTTCGAGTCCCTGACCTCCTTGTTCGTCTTGATCCTGGAATCACACTCAAAATAGATGTGGGCCTTGTTCCGGTTGTGCTTGATGTTGATCGTGACGTCAGGGCGGGACTTATCCGGGTCGACGTGGGATTTGGGGGAGCGATCGAACTCTATGGTATGGAGAGCTCGGTCGCCACATACTGGAAGAAGATCTCGTTCTGACCGTGCAGGTGCACGTTGCTGAGGCAGCAGGTCCATACGTTCATCGAGGAGATGTAGGCCATGACAGAGTTGGCGATGAAATTCCTGCTGACCAACATGTTCTCAAGGCGAGAGTCAGAGATTTAGTCGTTCCCGGGCATGTTAGTCACGCGGGTGAAGTTCTTCAAGTGACTGTTGGGCATAGACCAACGTGAGGTGCCTCTGGTAGTTGTAGAAGACGACGTCACGAACACACCTGTTGCTGGCATCCGTAACCAATATACCTGTTTTGCGTGCAAGAACGTACTTCTTGACCACAGACAACCTCTTGCAACCCCCGCTCCAACCGGTCTCATATAACACACATTGGGAAGCGGACACGCCGTTTCACCACCCGGGTCGCAGATAAGCGGGTAGCGCCCACCTGCCGAGAGCAGGAATGCCGAGGCCCACATGGATGCAGGTCATCTACCTGCGGGCGGTCCACTACCCCCGGTACCTCAGGATCGCCCTTGGCCTCCTCATTGTCAGCAGCCGCTTCCTTTTCGTCAGGCTTCACCGCTTCATGGAGAGGGAGGCCTCCAGGAAGCTTCATCGGTCTCTGGGAGGGGTCGCCGTGACCCAGAACGAGCGCGCAGGAAGGCCGACCGAGGAGCAGGCAGGGGAGGGAGCAGGGGAGAAGAATAGGGGCGGCTGACGGTCGTCATCCTCACCACCGACCCCCACAGCCTTGAGCGACTGCTCAACTCGCTCGCCAGGTACGACAGAGGCCTGAGGGTCGACCTCCTGATCAGGCAGGACGTTCCCAAGAACAACGTGCTGTGCCCTGTGACCATGAAGCTGGTGCAGAGGCTCTCCTGGACGCACGGGAACGTCAACCACGTGCAGGAGCTTGAGCACCAGGGGTCGATGAACCTGTGGCTCAAGGCCTACCATCCCCTGTCGGATGAGGATCTCTTCGTGATCATGGAGGACGACATACAGGTGTACCGCTACTACGCCAGGTGGCTCATGTACGCGATGGGCCAGTTCAGCGCTGACAGCTCGGTGATGGCCTTCTCGCTCGCCAAGCCGCTGGAGAGGGGGAAGAGCACGATCCCCCTCGAGCCGCTGGAAAGGAGCATCCCATTTGGGACGCAGGTAAGTACCAGTTCCACACGCTCCGAGCGTTGGCCCCCGTGCCCCTGATGTGGCTTCCTGGAGTTCGTGCAAACAACGAGGACAAGGCAACCAAGCTTTGACCCGACCGAGGTCGGGGAGCTCAGGGATGCGTCCACCTTCAGGCTGCAGCATCGTCGTCGTCTACCCCTGGACGGCCAGCGGGGTGGCGCTGGGGAGGTGCTGGGGGGAGGCGGGGCCGCTGCACCGCAGGAGCAAGGGGCCGGACTCGGAGCTCGCGACGGCATGGAACAGCAGCCTGTTCTTCAGGGATTGGGGTGGGAAGAGGGAGGTGTGACCCCTTCATTCGTACGACTAGACACCAAAGGTAGGGAGGGAGGGAGGGAGGGGTGTGCCTGCAGGTGACGTCGTAGAGGCAGCACTCGGTGTAACCCTTGGGGTTGAAGTTGAGGATGGCGGCGGCGTGGACCTTGCTGTTCGTCGAGAAGCAGGCGTTGATGTACTTGTTGATCTGGTTACAAACACTGTATTTGTTCCAGGCGTTGATGTACTTGTTGATCTGGTTACAAACACTGTATTTGTTCCAGGCGTTGATGTACTTGTTGATCTGGTTACAAACACTGTATTTGTTCCAGGCGTTGATGTACTTGTTGATCTGGTTACAAACACTGTATTTGTTCCAGGCGTTGATGTACTTGTTGATCTGGTTACAAACACTGTATTTGTTCCAGGCGTTGATGTACTTGTTGATCTGGTTCTCGTACTTCCTCCAGTTTACGCAGGCCTTGCTCCACGAGGAAGTTGCCGCTCCTCAGCTCGACGAGCAGGTCGCACTCCCCGATCTTGGTCAGGTCGCCGCTCGGCATCCTCTGCATGCAGTGTCACATCTCTCCGCGCTGCAGAAGAGGATCAGCGGCCAGGAGTGGCTGTCTGCTGCGGCCTGGGACGGGGGCAAGGACGGGGCGGGGGGGGGGGAGGGCCGCTTCCTGCACTCGGTCTCTAGCGCGCGGGCTCGGGGCTCTGCACCCTGCGGTTGAAAAAGGGGGAGGCCCTGGGCCTGGCCTCCTCTGCGTCCTGCATCTCCTCGTCCGGCATGGGGGACTGCGAGAGCCTGGGCCGCACAAAGAAGCGCTTCTGCATCGTCTGCGTGTTAACGCTGATCGAGCGGACGTCGCGGAGGATGCGGTTGAGGTTCTCGACGAGAAGAACCTCAATGAGCATGACAGTGTCGTCTATCTTGGTGCGCTCGGCCACGCCGCACCAGCCGGAGGTGTGCTTGTTGCCCTCCTCCTTGCCCTACCTCTCCAGCTCCTTGAGCAGCTCCAGCCGGCAGGTGGTCCTGGCGATGACGCCTCATCGCAGGGAGGAGGCGGCGACTTACAAGCACAAAATAAGATAGACAGAAACCTTGAAGAGCTCGACTGCATTCCTGTGGGACCTGAGAACGACAAAATACTTGTGGGGGCCTCCGATGATGACGAGGTCAGGAGGGTGAGGAGGAAGAGATTGAGATATGTCAGTAGGCTTTCAATGGACATTCTACCTTTCCGTATGAGCTGTAAAACGAGAACATGACCTACGGAGTCGCCAGGCTCTGCCTTTCTGGAGACTCTGAGTCACTATTAGAAGTTACATCTCCGATGCTCCTCTTCCCTTAGTAGTGACCTCGCAAGTTTAATGGTATATATGCTATGAACCATAACACCTAGTAGCAATCCTCACGCTGCCGGAGACAAATAGCTCGTAACAAGGCCTCCTGGCCCAGTCGGAGAGTGCTGCTAGGCTGGGCATGTTGGACAGCAGCTGAGCAGTCAGTCGAGGGGAAGAGCAGATAGGAGCTTCAACACAGCCGAAATCATCTCCTCCTCTCCACCTCCTCCGCCCTTTGCCTCTGCTCCTGTCACACCTCAGTATCAGAAGTTTTTCCGTCTCGAAACTGTACTCGTCACCTCAATCTTCAGGCTCTTCCTGGATAGTTTGACTATCAAGTTGGCTCCCTCCTGCTCCGCCCAATCCTCCTCGCCTGGTTGATTTCGCTTCCAATATTCGCTCCTTACTCTCTTTCCCCTCCGTTTTCTGTGCTCCTGTTCGAACTCTTTCTCGCCCTCGCCTTCGCCCTCGCCCTCGCCCTCTCTCCGATTCTCGCCCAAGCCTCGTTGATTGGGACAAGAAGCAGCGGCATGCATCAACTTGGTTGCGGGGATAGAAGGACGAGGACGTGAACAAGGAAGAGCAAGAATACTTCATCAATCACAAACAATCCGTTGTAAGACATCTGCGACTACAAGATTCTCAGAGAACAAGCTTGCAAATCCTGGGAGGCTTGAGGGGGAGATTCCTGGGAGGCTTGAGGGGGAGATTCCTTCTATTTTCTTCCGAGTCTATATCCCCGACCATTGTCTCTCCTCGTGTAAAGGATAGCAGCCACAAGGAGAAATATCGGCCAGAACGAGAAAATTGGAGCTGTAAAGACACTTCTCAGTTGCTCATTGAAGACTATCAATTCACCAAAGTATGTGTTTTCACAGGGGCCAGAGCAAAAGAAAACATTCTTACAGTCATACTGAGAGTGTTTGAGTTCAACGACGCACTGGCAGATGTTGGGCATGTGTTCTCCAAAAAAATCACCGATTGCCTCCGGCAGTGAGACACCTCGATGAAACATCCAGTTCACTGCGGAAGAGACGGCTGGGCACGTTGAGCAAGTGCCATAGCAGATCTTGCCGTCTGCATGTTCCACCAATATCGTCGCAGCGACAAGCATGACGAGCGGGCGAGAGCCATAGTTAAATCCGACCATTTCCAGCTAACAACATGTGACCCCCACCCCACCCATACTCCCCCACAGACCCTACCCTCACGCTACCCCAGTGATTACTGGGGTGACAATACCCCCTACCAGCCTGAACCACAGGTGACCCCACCCCACCCATACTCCCCCACAGACCCTACCCTCACTGAACCACTGGTGACCCCCACCCCCTCTTCCTCACATCAGCCTTTTCCACCTGCGGTATGCTGTACTGCTCAACCTTTTGTCAACCTGCGAGCTAAAAAACAAGGAAGGTAGTACTGATTTTAACTTAACTTTGAGTAAAGTAGAAGGACCGATCGGAGTTCAAGAGGTTAATCGATTATTTTAGTCAACTGACTTTTGACCCGGCCGACCTCAGAGAACGCCAGTTGACAATCTCCTCCTCCTCCTCCTCCTCCTCCTCCTCCTCCTCCTTGTCTTCAGTTCTCATCCTCGTTCTCTTCTCCCTCAGTCTGGGTCTCGCGCCTCGCCATGGATGGCAAAGTGGGCGAACGCTATCAGGTGCGAGCTGAAGCACGAGGGCCCGTGTGGTGACTTGTGACATGATGAGCAACATGAAGAGGAGAAAGGGAAAGGAGAGGGAAATGGGGGAGGATGAGGAGGGAGCGATGCTTTGACTGTGAATGCTGCAGGTGAAAGACAGCGAGATCAAGACGCTTGCGTGAGTAGCGGAGATGGAGGGAGCGGATAGAGGAGGGGGCGGATAGAGGAGGGGGCGTGTGATAGAGGAGGGAGCGGATAGAGAAAGAAGGGACGATGATGATGGTGGAGAGGCAGAGGAAGACAATTCCAACTTGACGATATGACAGTGATAACCAGCACAAGTTCCTCGTCGAATGCTCCGCACTTGTCAAGAACTGGAAGAAGCGGATCGAAGACTTCAAGTAACCTTCCTCTTCCTGCCAACCCCAACAATATAAGATCAACTTTCCTTGACTCTCCTTCTGGTGCTGGTGCTAGTGCTGGTGCGCCTCCTCTCTCTCTTCAGCTTCTCATGCTCTTGATCATTTATTCATCATCGTCCATTGCCGCCGTCTTCATCCTCTTATCTGCATTCTCAGACCTCCCTCTCCCCCTGCTCCTGCTCCTCACCCTCTAGATAAGCTCGTCTTGCCTATACCGTTGTGAGGATGAAACAACGAAAGAGGGGAGCAGGGAGGGAGGTAAGGAGGGAGGGAGGGAGGAGACGGAGGGGGAGGGGGAGGGGGAAAAGGGGGGGAGGGAGGGAGGAGAAGAAAGGAGACGGAGGGACATAGGACCTGATGGGATCTTCAAGCACGTGACCTAGGTAGTCGATAATTCTCTCGATCTTTGGGAAGGTTCGGCTCTCAAGCTTCGAGTGAAGTTGCGTCCTCCTAACCTGCTCCCCCGTCAACCTCTCGCTATACCTCTGTACCAACTCCTCCTCCTCCTCCTCCTCCTCCTCCCTCCTCGTCCTCAATCTTATCCTTCCTTCCTACTCTGCTCCTGTTGATATCTTTTTCTGCTCCGTTGATGCTCGATCTCTTCATCCTCCTCTTCATCCTGCTGCTTCCTCCTCTTCTTCTCGTTCTCTTCTCTTCTACTTCCCCTCTCAGCTTTCCTTCCCTCCCCGTTCTTTTCCTCCCCTTACCTGCTTGTTCTTGTCTAGCCAGAGCAAGTCGATCTCAAAGGAGCCCAGCCTGAATACTCGTCACTCTCCTCCACCACCTCCTCTTCTCCTCACCTTGGTTCCCTTCTTGACTCCACTGTCAGCCCTTCCTGCAGCAAAGGGTCAAATAAGATTGGAGGGAGTAGAGGAAGAGAAAACAACGAGGAAAGGAGGGAGGGAGGGAGGGAGGGAGGGAGGTGGTGTACCATTTCGACATTCTTGAGGAGGGTGATGGGGCGGCCTGGGAAGCGGGAGGAGAGAGTCTCGGAGAGTTTGTCCGCGAGGCGCAGGTACGTCTCCTCCTTGTGTCGGAGGGAGAAAGAAGATTTCCCGCAGAACTCCAGCCGGACGTGGAGGGGAGTGGAGGGAGACACGTAGCCCATCACCACCTGCGTCCGGAGAAAGTCGAGGCTGGTGGGGTCGAGCTGGGAGTGGAGGAAGGGGCGGAGGGAGGAGGAGGAGGAGGAGGTCATGTTGATCAGAGCCGGGGGCTTCTCCGAGATCCTCCCGAGGCTGCTGCTGAGCTGCTGCTGGGAGCGGATGGGTGCAGACGTTGGGCGCTGAGGCTTGAGAGGACGAAGCTCGTCTACGGGCTGAAACGTCCTCCTCCGTCGGTCTCCCTCCTCCTCCGTCCTCCTCTCCCCAATAGGAGATGGTGCTGTCCTCTCCGAGGCCGTGCTGGCTGTCCGCAAGGAGGAGGAGGAGGAGAGCGAGTGGGAGAGGCTGTTGACGTGTGTCTTGCCCGCGTTCCAAGTGCTCGGACGCTCTCTGACGATCCTCGTCCTCTTCGTCTTCGTCTCCAGCTCCAGCAACTTCATCTGCAGCCTGTTGCTGTGCTCCAGCTCCGAGTCCAGAGCATCTCGTAGAGCCGCGATGTCATCCTCAGCGCAGGAGAGGGCAGCACGAAGCTGCATGACTTGAGACTGAGAGGAGGTGAGAGAGACTCCGTCTGCCTGCTTCTCCTTCCTGCTGTCACTCAGCTCCTTTCTCAGCGTGTCCACCTGCTTTTGAAGGTCCTCCACCCTCTCCCTCTCCCTCTGCGTCACTTCCGCCAGCTTGTCCTGAAGTGCCTCAACAGTGTCGAGCTCCTTCCTCTCCCTCCTCGTCCCCTCCGAGCCCGGCACCCTCTCATTCATGACGGCATGCTCCGCCTCGTCCTCGACCCCCTGATCAGCCAGTCAGCTACTTCCCCTGTCCTCCCTTCTCTCTCCTCCTCTCCCTCCTCTCTCATCTTCCCGTACTTCTTCTCTGCGTCTCCTCTCGTCCTCTCTCTCCCCTTTCCTCCCCCTCCCTCACCTCGTCTGTTGTCTTGCGATGCGCTACCTCCCCAGCTCCCTGGCTTTGCGCTAGCTCCTTCATCCTTCCCATGACCTCGCTGATGGACTTGAAGAGCTCCTCCACTGCAAATCTATCAGAACAACTTCCTTCTTCTTCTGCTCCTCTTCCTCCACCGCTCCCTCTTCCCATCCTCCTTCTCAGCAAGCGCTCACCTAGATCGCTCGCCTTGTCCACTTCAGACGACTTGCTCTGGATCGGCTGCATGCACACCAGGACAGAGCCCATGGCATCGTTGTACTTCTGTTGGGGAAGCGAAATATGGTCACAAGGAGCATGGACATGGACATGGAGGAGGAGGAGGAGGTGGTGGTGGTGGTGGAGTAACAAGTGAAGAAATCAACACATACATCCCATCCCTTCCTCTCCCTTCCCCTCATGCTGCTCACCTCCAGCAGGCCGTCCAGCTCCTCAACGGCTGCCTGCATGGCTGCCGGTATGATGAAGAGAAAGAGAGAAAATGAGCGAGAAACGCTCAACTTTGCTCCTGCTCCCCTCGCCTCGCTCGCCTCCCGCCGCCGCCGCCGCCTCCTCTGATCCTTTCCTTCTGTACCCGCTCTTGGCTGGTCTTATTGGCTTGTCGTCCTGGTATCAACTCCTCTCTCCCTCCTCCTCGCTTCCTATCCTCTTCTTCTCTCCTCCTCCTCCTCCTCCCTCCCCTCCTCTATTCCTGTCGTTGCCCGCCCGCCATTTCTCGGTTCAATTTCAGTTACCTGTTGGGTACGAGCGGGTACGAGGGCACAGAGGTGCATGAGGGGGATGAGGGGGATGAAAATAGACATGTCGGCTGCAGAAGGCAGGATGTCGAGCAAGAGGAGGAGGCTGGAGGGATCAGACACGAAGACAGAGAGAGAGCAGGAGAACGACAGAAATGAAGCAGGAAGGGAAACCAAACGAATACGAAGGAAGCTATGCGAGCACGGGCGGGTCCGATCGAGATGCAAGGGATGCGGGGGCAGCAGCATATGCGAGCACGGGCGGCAGCGATCGAGATGCAAGGACTGCGGGGGCAGGTGCATATGCGAGCACGGGCGGCAGCGATCGAGATGCAAGGAGTGCGGGGGAGGGAGCATATGTCAGCACGGGCGGGTCCGATCGAGATGCAAGGGATGCGGGGGCAGGAGCATATGCGAGCACGGGCGGGTGCGATCGGTCTGCAAGGAGTGCGGGGGCAGCAGCATATGCGAGCACGGGCGGCAGCGATCGGTCTGCAAGGGATGCGGGGGAGGGAGCATATGCGAGCACGGGCGGGTCCGATCGAGATGCAAGGGATGCGGGGGCAGCAGCATATGCGAGCACGGGCGGGTCCGATGGAGATGCAAGGGCTGCGGGGGCAGGAGCATATGCGAGCACGGGCGGGTCCGATCGCAATGCAAGGAGTGCGGGGGCAGCAGCATATGCGAGCACGGGCGGGTCCGATCGAGATGCAAGGAGTGCGGGGGCAGCAGCATATGCGAGCACGGGCGGGTGAGATCGAGATGCAAGGGATGCGGGGGAGGGAGCATATGCGAGCACGGGCGGCGGCGATCGGTATGCAAGGAGTGCGGGGGAGGGAGCATATGCGAGCACGGGCGGGTCCGATCGGTCTGCAAGGAGTGCGGGGGCAGCAGCATATGCGAGCACGGGCGGCAGCGATCGGTCTGCAAGGGATGCGGGGGCAGGAGCATATGCGAGCACGGGCAGGTCCGATCGGGCTGCAAGGAGTGCGGGGGCAGCGGCATATGCGAGCACGGGCGGCAGCGATCGAAATGCAAGGGATGCGGGGGCAGCAGCATATGCGAGCACGGGCAGGTCCGATTGAGATGCAAGGGATGCGGGGGCGGCAGCATATGCGAGCACGGGCAGGTCCGATCGCAATGCAAGGGATGCAGGGGCAGGAGCATATGCGAGCACGGACGGCAGCGATCGGGCTGCAAGGGATGCGGGGGAGGGAGCAGCAGGTACAACTGGCAGGCAGGGGAGTAGCGGATCAGTGTAGCAAGATGAGGAGGGCGGGGGTCGTCGGGACTCATTGCGGGTAGGAGGGCCGGCATTGAGGCGCAGGGGTTTGACCTCAACCCCTTGAATGGTAATAGAATAACGAGAAGGGAGTAATAGACTAGGAATAGACTTGTACGGTATGACAGTCATGCAGACATCAACAGCTGACCTTGACGAGAAGACCGTCAGTCCCTCGAGATTGAGCTGAACGGTCACGCAAAGAGCAGTAAGAGTAGTAGTATGATTCGATTTACTGTGACGGGCCAACCCTCCAAAACACCTCTGCACGGGGGCAGTGCACGGGTGGAACTGAACTTAACCAACCGATCTGACAGACGGGCCAACCCCTAGTGTGGGAATTAAATGGTACAAATGTTTAGTTAAATACCCCCCCTCCTTTCCTCATCGCGCCTCCATGCAGAGCGTTCGGGGCACTATGGCGGGGGATTTAGGGGGTGCTGCATGCCATGGCAGGGTGTCACGAGGAAATTCAAATCAAAGTTTTGGCGGGCAAAGCTATGTTGCCCCACACCATGGGCAGGCCGAGGCCTCCAGCGAAGAAAACATGCTCATCATGCCACAGACGACGAGAAATGACCAGCATTCGAAAGTGGCATGGTGTGCCTTTGTGCACAACTTGTGTTGCAAGGTTGAAAAAACACAATGATCTCAATGATCGCGAGCAGACCCGCTCTCTAAATGGGATGATGCCTTGGTTTTCAAGCTGTTGGATTTCTTGCAATGCCATGGCCATGCAACTTTATCTGTGGAGTGTGAAGACGAGAATCTTTTAGTTTCAGCGACCCATTACCTCAAGTGGAGTCTTCGTTCTGTATCCTTGTATGAAGTCCAGAACAAACTAAAGGTCCTCGGAGATGTCTATGGGCCTACATCAGAAGGATTTTCGAGATGTTTTCTCCAGCACTATATGCAGGTTTTCGAACAACAAGCATCTGGCAAATCACATGGAGGCACAAAGGCCATTTATGAGCACTTGAATCGACTTCGTACACGTATTGGCAACATTCACAGGAAGAATCGAAACCTTCTTTCTCGCATGGAAGAATGGTCTACTGCTCACTTCGAGAATTTGAATTCATTGCAAACCGTATTGAACTACTATACACGATTACTTTGTGAAGTAAGTCTGAGATGTTGCTTTCTTTCCATGCCAGTGACCTGACGATCATTGTACAGGTATGCAAGAATGTCGGATGAGGCGCAGGGGTTTGACCTCAAACACTTGAATGGTAATAGAATAACGAGAAGGGAGTAATAGACTAGGAATAGACTTGTACGGTATGACAGTCATGCAGACATCAACGGTCACGACACTTGAAAGCCTCGGGAGTAGAGGCCCGGAGCATGAAGGCCTCACTGCGAGAGTCACGTAGATCCTTGTTTTTGTGCCGGACCCGGAACGAGGAATCAGTACGGTCAAGAGCCTCATCATCGCACAACTACTGAGGAAACACTCAGATCCTACCACACGAGCGACGGCATGCACGACAAGCAGGGGAACAACTTGAAGGATCAGGCAAAGAGCAGTAGCCTGTACAGTAGTAGTTTTATTGACTGAAAGGAAAGGCAAACCGGAGCAAAGTAGTAGTATGTAACTGCGGGCCAACCCTTGTGTGGAGTTTCAAGTAATTAAGTGAAAAATCAAGTTACACCTGCTGGTACACATGTTTAGTTAAATACCCCCTCCCCTTTCCTCATCGGTGTGAACGGGGCGCTATGGCGGGGAGTTGAGGGGGAGCTGCATGCCATGGCAGGGGGTGACGAGGAAATTCAAATCAAAGTTTTGGCGGGCAAAGCTATGTTGCCCCACACCATGGGCAGGCCGAGGCCTCCAGCGAAGAAAATATGCTCATCATGCCACAGACGAAGAGAGTTGACCCGCGTTCGAAAGTGGCATGGTGTGCCTTTGTGCACAACTTGTGTTGCAAGGTTGAAAAAACACAATGATCTCAATGATCGCGAGCAGACCCGCTCTCTAAATGGGATGATGCCTTGGTTTTCAAGCTGTTGGATTTCTTGCAATGCCATGGCCATGCAACCTTATCTGTCCAGTGTGAAGACGAGAATCTTCTCCAGCGACCCAGTGCCTCAAGTGGAGTCTTCGTCTCTGTATCCTTGTATGAAGTCCAGAACAAACTAAAGGTCCTCGGAGATGTCTATGGGCCTACATCAGAAGGATTTTCGAGATGTTTTCACTACACGCAGGTTTTCGAAAAACAAGTTCGAAACCTTCAATCGAAGAATGGTCTACTGCTCACTTCCATGCTTTGCATTCATTGCAAAGCACTGTTCACGACTACTCTGTGAAGCAAGTCCGAGATGTTGCTTTCTTTCCATGCAAGTAACCTGACGATCATTGCACAGGTATGCAAGAATGCCGGATGAACATGTTGACAAGGGTGAGAGTCCTTCAAACAAACATGCCAAGGCGCAATCCGAGCTGCCCTTTCAGATAGTCTGTGACCTTCGTTTCCTTCGAGAAACCTTCACAGCCACACCCGATGTGACATGCTTAGAAGGATTTTGAGTGAACACGACTCTCTGTGTCAAACACATGACAAGAATACGATTTGCGAAGCAGATGTAGGTGTTGTCACGGGGGGAACAATGGATTTGTCTGAACGGCTTGAATCGCGACAGAGACGGTCCGATCGGACGGTCGACACAGGCCGCAAGTTTGCCATGGTTTGGAGACACGGTAGCCTTACTGAACATCGGACCGACTTGGATAAAATGTCAATTTTCTCACGAGCAACAACACAGTAGCCAGGTCAGAGACGAGAAGGACTAGCAGAAGCTGCAATGCCTCTAGCAGCTGTTTACATTGGATTTGCTGATACAAGTTTGGTGACGGTTCATAGCTTCACGTGATGCCTCTAGCAGCTGTTTACAATGGATTTGCTGATACAAGTTGGTGTTCATAGCTTCACGTGATGCCTCTAGCAGCTGTTTACATTGGATTTGCTGATACAAGTTTGGTGTTCATAGCTTCACGTGATGCCTCTAGCAGCTGTTTACATTGGATTTGCTGATACAAGTTTGATCTTCATAGCTTCACTTGCTCTTCAGACGGTCAACGGCGGTACCTGTTGGGTACGAGCGGGTACGAGGGCACAGAGCTGGCGCATGAGGGGGATGAGGGGGATGAAAATAGACATGTCGGCTGCAGGAAGTAGAATGTCGAGCAAGAGGAGGAGGCTGGAGGGATCAGACACGAAGACAGAAGAGAGGCAAGCGGACGAAACAGACGGAGGAGGGAGGGAGACCAAACGAATACGAAGAAAGCTATGCGAGCACGGGCGGGAGCGATCGAAATGCAGGGAGTGCGGGGGAGGGAGCATATGCGAGCACGGGCGGGTCCGATCGGTCTGCAAGGGCTGCGGGGGCAGGAGCATATGCGAGCACGGGCGGGTCCGATCACAATGCAAGGAGTGCGGGGGCAGGAGCATATGCGAGCACGGGCGGGTCCGATCGAGATGCAAGGAGTGCGGGGGCAGGAGCATATGCGAGCACGGGCGGGTCCGATCGGGCTGCAAGGAGTGCGGAGGCAGCAGCATATGCGAGCACGGGCGGCGGCGATCGAAATGCAAGGGATGCGGGGGCAGGAGCATATGCGAGCACGGGCGGCAGCGATCGAGATGCAAGGGATGCGGGGGAGGGAGCATATGCGAGCACGGGCGGCAGCGATCGGTCTGCAAGGAGTGCTGGGGCAGCAGCATATGCGAGCACGGGCGGCAGCGATCGGGCTGCAAGGGATGCGGGGGCAGGAGCATATGCGAGCACGGGCGGGAGCGATCACAATGCAAGGAGTGCGGGGGCAGGAGCATATGCGAGCACGGGCGGGTCCGATCGAGATGCAAGGAGTGCGGGG